AGCCCTGGACCTAAATGTGTTTCTTGTATAGATCCAGCATATTGCTGGATCTAGTTTTTTATCTACTCTACCCGTCTTTCGATTGGTGAGCTGAGACCATTTACATTGATGGTTATAACTGACATGTATTGACTTTTATTATCTGCTGTTGGTTACTTGTCTTTCCCCTTCCTACTTGTGTTTTTGGATATGTGCAGATTGTTTTTTGTTTTGTTTCTGGTACGGGGGATCAAACTCACGACCTTGCACGTGCAGGGCAGGCGCTGTGCCACTGAGCTAAATCCCCAGCCCAAGATTGTTATCTCTCTCTACAATATCCTTCAGACCACACTGTAGGGCTCATTTGGTGGGGATGATGTTCTTTGTCATGGAAGTATCTTATTTCTGCATTAATTCTAAAAGACAGTTTTGCAGAGTATATCAATCTGGGTTGGAAGGTTTTTTGTTTTGTTTTTTTTTTTTCTGGTACTGGGGATCGAACTCACAACCTTGCGCTTGCTGGTCAGGCACTGTGCCGCTGAGCTAAATCCCCAGCCCCTGGGTTGGAAGTTATTTCCTTTCAGGACTTTGACTATTTCACTCCAAGATCGCCTTCACTTGAGGATCTGTGTTGAGAAGTGTGCTGTAATTCTGATGGGCTTCCCTTTATAGGTGACTTGTTTCTTTTCTCTGACAGCTTTTAATATTCTCTTCTTGCATTTGAATTTCTGGAATCTTGACTATGATATGCCTGGCGATAGAGTTTTTCTTTTGTTTTGTTTTTGATCATGGCTAGTTGGAGTTCCATCTGCCTCACTTAATCAAATTTTTCTTTCCTGCTTGGGAAGGTTTCTACCATTACTTTTGTGAATAGGTTCTTTATGATGTTTGCACTACCTCTCTTTTCAGTGACTCTGATCAACCCTGTGTTATTATTCCTAGCATCATCTAGCAGCTGTTGGATTGATTTTTCTTTTCTTTTCTTTTCTTTCTTTCTTTTTTTTTGGACAGGAATCAAACTCAGGACCTTATATTTGCCAGGCAGGCAATTGAGCTGCTGAGCTACATCCCCAGCCCATAGATTGATTTTTCATGATCCCTTGCTATTTTTGTTTTAGTGGGGTTTTGTTTGTTTATTTTAAGAGAGGGTCTCACTATGTAGTTCAGGCTGGCCTTGAACTCACTAGGTAGCCCAGGTTGCCCACCAGCTCATGGCTATCCTCCTTCCTGCCTCAGCCTCCCAAGTGCTGGAATTACAGGCATGTGCCCCGACACCCAGCTTCCCTTGCTATTTTTAAGAAATCTTTTTGTGATCACCACAAAAAGACAAATCTTGTCTTCTAGGTGTGATATTCAGTGCTCACATTGGTTCCTTCTGCTGAATATACATTCAATGGTATTTTTAATCTCCTGGATATCTGTTTAAGAGGTGACTTCTGAGACCACTGTAACAGAGGCAAAACACTGTCCTCATGGAGACTGGGCC